ACAGGCGATGGGGGCTGCTCCAAGGAAGACAAGCACACCAGAGGTGCTCCGTCGCCCGTCGATGTCGCCCGCCATGTCTGTGTCGCTGAAAACAGTGAGCTCCGGCTCACCTTCCTTTGCCTTGGGGGGTGACTCATTGAAGACCGTGAGCCACAGCCCATCCTTGCCACCACTCTTGGGGAAGATGATCGCTTGATTGAGCGTCCCCTTGACGTAGCGTAGCAACCTTTTCACCGTCGTCCAGTGATCCTCACACGGTTCCTCCATGAACCGACTAACATACCCGACCACGAACGCGATGTCCGACCGAGTATGCGTGAGGTAGCGCAGCCCGCCGACGATGCTCCGGTAGAGCGTCACATCCACCTTCGCCGCCATGCTATGCTTGGACAGCTTTAGCCGCTCCTCCATTGGAGTTGCGCACGACTTGCACTCCGCCATGCCGCTGCGCTCCAGTAGCTTCTCCACATAGGCGCGCTGGCCCAGGGAGATGTGCTCCTTCCCCTGCCTCACCTCAATGCCGAGGTAGTAGGAGAACGCGCCGAGATCGCTCATTTTGAAACGAGCAACCATCTCGCGCTTGAAGCCGTCAATGTCCTCCTCCCGCGCTCCAGTGACGATCAAGTCGTCCACATACACGCCGACGATGAGCTCCTCCTTCCCCCGTCGCCGCATGTACAATGCGTGCTCTGTGGCGCAGCGAGTGAACCCAAGCTCGCCCAAGGTGGCGTCAAACTTGACGTTCCACGCCCGAGGGGCCTGCCGTAGCCCATAGAGCACCTTGCGCAGCTTGAGCACCTTGTGCTCAACGCCCTTGATGGCGAAGCCCGGAGCTTGCTTGACGAAGACCGTCTCTGCGAGCTCGCCGTTGAGGAACGCAGACTTGACGTCGAGGTGGTGGACGCACCAATCGTTCGCTACTGCCATAGCCAACAGCAAGCGAACGGACTCCATTCGCGCCACCGGAGCAAAGACTTCCTCGAAGTCGATGCCCTCACGCTGCACGAAGCCACGGGCGACAAGCCGAGCCTTGTACTTGACAATGGCGCCGCGCTCATCCCGCTTCACCTTGTAGACCCACTTCAACCCGATCGGCCTGCAGCCCACCGGTGGATCCACCAGCTCCCATGTCCCATTGTCCTAGGTCGCCCTTATCTCCTCCAACATCGCCCGGCATCAATTGGCGTCGCGTTCAGCCACTATGAACGTCGGTGGCTCCTCTGCGCTGGCAAGGCGTAGTTCTGGGTCATCCAGAAGCCGGCTAGCTAGCCCAGGAGCTCCCCCTTCGCCAACAAGGTTGTCCACCCACCTGAACCGAACATCCTCGCCGTTACGGAAAGCATCCACGAACTCGTCGATGTCAGTGGGTGGTGATGCGAATTCCAGGGGTTGTCCCTTATGCTGCTGTCGCAGGGGACTGTGGTGGAGGTGAATGCGCCGCTGCTGGGGGTGTTTCTGGATGGGCGGCGGCGTCGTTGCACGAGTTCTTGTAGCCTGACCCGCCGGAGATGGCAGATCGCCCGGCGCTGGCGGTTGAAGCGTATCGCCGTACGGCAACATGGAGAGGTTGCTTTCCTGGTACAAGGCTGTTGATGATGCAGACAAAAGGCTCGTCTTGGTTGTTGATACGATAAACTATCTTCTGATTTGTTAGGCTAATCCTACTAGCATTATTCTACAGTGTGATTCTTGTGCAATATGACCCCATTTCTTGCTTCTCTCGCTACAAACGTTGGCTACGAAAGTACGAAGCGTTAGGGCTAGAAAGCAAGGACACGTATGCATTCTCCAAAGCAGGCCATTATCGAGAATCAAGGCTCTAGGATGGTGTGCCTTGCCAGGGTAAAAAAAATCCCACGTGTCAGTAAGGCCATTTTGAGTGCACTGTTTTATTATTTATATTGATACAAGTGAAATTCTAAAGTGTCACATGAGATTTATATTGATAAAAAAATTCTCAGTGTACAATTTCATCATCACACGGTTTCATAACATTTGTATCATGTTTGGCTGCCTGTATAAAACCAGGCTAGACTTATGGGATATAAATTTATGTTGTTTGGTTACCTAGACAAAGATTTAAACATGTCTTACAATACAGGTTACAAAAGGCACCATCAGCCTGGCTCTAGATAAACGAGTTTCATTTCGGTTTTCTGTGGCCCTATCTCACTCGGTGCAAGGTGGCTCCTAGCTAACGATAGGATTAGGATAGCCTGGAGCGAGCCAGGCTCATTTAAACCAACTGGACGTTTTATTTTGTTTTTTTTTTATCTCTTGACGTTTTATTTTGTTGCTTAGACCTTGTTTAGTTTCTTCCTCTAAAGTTTACTCTCTATTACATTGGATGTTTGACACATGCATGGAGTATTAAATATAGACTAAAAAAAACTAATTGCACAGATTGTGACTAATTTGCGAGACGAATTTTTTAAGCCTAATTAGTCCATGATTTGACAATATGGTGCTACAGTAAACATATGCTGATGACGGATTAATTAAGCTTAATAAATTCGTCTCGCGGATTACTGATGACTTCTGTAATTTGTTTTATTATTACTGTCCGAACACTCACATGGGACGCTCCAATGTGACATCCCTAAACTTTACTTTCTGAATTTAAACACCACCTTAGTATATTTATCCATCCTGCAGATTTACCGATACAGTGTTTGGTTGTTTTTATGAGAATATGTCGCATGATATAAAATATGTAAGACAAAAAAAACAATTGTTGTATTTATTGAGTACAAGGATATTTTAGTAATCTTAGTTTTTTTCTTATTAAGCTTTAATTGGCTATTTAAACATAAATAGTATAGTGCCCGTGCTAACACCACAGCAATATCTTAGGCATGCATATCAAAACAACCAAAAGGCGATATTTTTTTCTTTGCCCGTGCGAACACTACCATTTCTTAAAAATGAAGTAAATAGTGATATAGATTTATTTCTCATGCCAAAAGAGATTCATGATGAGTTATCATATTGTTGAGTCCATAGCAATTATGCTTAATAATATAATGCTTTTGTTAAAGCTACAATGGCATCGAGAAAAAATAAATCATAATAAAACAAAAAATAAATTTATAGTGACCAACTGTCTAATGCTAGGCATACAAAAAATTAACTATAATTTCGTTTATTTATACATCAACCATACAATCAACATTAACCGTGTCAAACCAATACACACTCATGAAACACATATCAATCAGAACAAAGCTCACAATTTATACTAAAGCCATCATTATCTGTCATATGCCATCCTAGATAGTTCATGGCAAACAAGCCAAGATGAAATAAGTTCAACTAATATGCTAGACTCCAGATATTTGGTTGCACAGCCCATATCTCATATGGTTTGCTTGCACTCTTTACAAAATTATCATCTCTAGGAAGTCCTTACTAAAGTTTTCACCTCTAGCTAGGATGTCCAAAACAAATCGCCATGAGGAATTTGATCCAATCGCTGGTTGCATACATCAGTCTACTTCTAGCTATTATCTCCCACCTGAAAAATAAAAGTTCACATTCGTCAAAAACACAACCTAAAACACAGCCCAACTTGATAGCAAGGCTGCAAGCAGTAGCAAAACAAAAACTACCATCAACAGATATGAAAGTGCCACCTATCAAGAGTGAACCTATCACTTTAGCTTGAGATTGAGTAGATGTACAATTTAAATAATTGTGGAGCAGTAAACACTAAACAATTAAGTGCAAAGTGGTTCAAAATAGAGTAAAAGCAAACAGCTACTGTTGTCAAGATCAAGGTAAACAAAATGCTCATATTCGCATAAATAGATGATCACTAAAAAATCTGTAGGCAAGATTCAGTTTCAGCTCCAAAATGGCAACTCGCAGAAATAGAATAGATCACCTCATAGAGTGCTGCCAGAATAGATGCATTCTAATTAAAAATACAATTTAACTCGTAGAAATAGAATAGATCACCTCATAGAATGAAGATTACAGAAATATATTTTACAGAAATATATTTTACAGAAATATATTCACATATGTTGTAAAAAAGGTGAGCAAGTTCAGAGTTTCAGACAAAAAGGTGAGCAAGGCAAAAAGAAATTTAGGGTAAAAAAATTGAGACCACAGGTACAATCAACATTCTCTATCTCAATATATAGAACTGTAACTAAAACAAATCATGTGTAGGGTGTGTTGTGTGTTCATATTACCATTTACATATTTCAATGGATTTAAATAATCCATCTATGAACCTTATTAGGCCACCACAAATTAATCCTTCTCTTAAAATAAGCATCCTTGCAGAGTGGGTGGGAGAGCATCACCTGGTCCTGCCTCTAATCCACGCATGATGACGCCTTCTAGCTCTTGTCCACCACACGACCATGACTCTCAGTTCCAGCTTGTCCGCACAACGCCAGTTCTCGACACTGGCATCCGCCACAACGACACCTCCTGGCTCATCGCTCCTGTAAGGTGATCTATATTACATATACTTTTCTATTTTTTACTCCTAGTGCTACCTAAATGGAACAATAGAGCATCCATTCTGATTCACACATAATCGTATATAATTAATAAACAATCTATCTATGCTATTGGATATATGCATAAATTTTCTGTCTGTAGTGGTTCAGAATAGAGTAAAAGCAAGCATCTAACACTTGAATTGGAACAAAAAATTTGGCCAATTCACATTGGTAATATTTCTATGAAATAAAAAGCTATAGGTCCAACCCTATCTTTTGCACAGAGACTATCCGATTTGGCTCCAGCCATAAGTTTCACATTCAGGTTCAGATAGCCACAAGTTAATTGGTCTCGTATGTCAGGGCCAACTAAACAATAGTATTTGTTAGGCCATTTGTCTGGGAATATCTTGATATGGCATTTACATTTCACCAAGCATTTCATATTCGCAATACAGTAACCATTAAACAATGAAGGGAAGAAAGACAACTGATAGTTAGTCAATTTCTCAGGGCAGAACAAAGCAGAAATTTGTGTTGCCTACCTCAGCTTTGTAAACATGCTTGGCTCCAGAGGCTCCATTCTCCAAGTCTTTGGGAGTATCTGAAATTATTTTTTTTAGAATAGAGACAATGAACACCTGAAACTGAAATTAGATAAGTTATTAAACGAATCTGCAACAAATCACCCGCAGCAGTATTTTTCACATATTATTACAACGCACCTTTGTCTAGGATTTGTTTGATTGGTTCCACAGTTCCACTTGTCCTGTAACGTTGTGCAAAACAATCAGAGCAGTCTATAATGATGTAAATGGCCTAACGTAAGAGCTACTCAAATTAGGAGGTAATTCAGCAACAAATACGGTGGAAAATCTGAATGCTCAGATCCTTGTCGAAGAGCAAAAAAAAGTGGAAGAAAAACAATATACATCAACGTAAGATTTGTTATTCCTAAGACCTGATACTGGATATAGTCATAGAATAAAAAACTGAAAAGTCACCAATTGCCTATGCTAACGCTACAGGCCACATTAAACCAAGAACTTGACTTGATAACATTTTGATGGAAGCTACCACTATCACAATAGGTGATTATGAATGTTTAAATTTCCTACTCTGTTCCCATCTCTGCCTGGTCCAATCAACTTGACTACAACAAAATTCCAATGAGATAGCAATGAGGGTTGTTTTTATTTCACATATTCAGATGTATGATAGAAAACTCTGAATTCATTATATGTTAGTTACTGCAAAAGAAAAGCTCACAGGTCAAATTGCTTACCTTGTCAAAAATAGGAAACTTTGCTTTCACATATTCATTGCTGCCAGGCTCTTGACCAGCAAATTGATTACATGGGAATGCAAGTATCTCAAGGCCTACATGTAAGAGTGAAAGGAAGCCAAGGAAAATGAGCTAAATTCAAAGAACAAACGTTTCTCTCTGTACTTCTCATACAAGACATTTAGCTGATTGTTTCTTCTTTCATTTCACTTGCTTGCTCGCTGCCATTCTTGACCACTCTATGCTGGATGGGATCCAAAAAAAACAAAATTGCTATTAGTGACCTCAGCTGGAATATCTTCTGCGGGACTGCAAGCTATTACCGTCAATCTAAAACGTCATTTGAAATACAGCAGCATGCAGCAACTTACATGGAGCATGCTCTTTGCTGTCCTTTTTATGCCACTTAGGCACATAGTAGTTATTCCTGATGCAAGAACCAACCATAGGTAGTCCAGAGTTGAAGTTATTGTGTTTCTCTGGAAAATAAAAATTATCAGAATTGTTACTCTCTCCTACAACTGTAAGTTACAAAAGGTTAGTGCTCATATAACAGTTGCAGTAAAACGAAAAAGAGGAAGGAAATATAAGTAATAATTTGTCCGTAGTTACCATTATCCATCATCTAGGTATTGCCGCAAAATGGCTTTGATTCGATTACTTGCTACAGTGACTCATAATCCCGGCAAGGCCTGCGTGCTGCTGGACATTGCTCCATCATCCCGTCCCCGCACATGCATCTGCATATATCCATATTCAGATTTTAAGTGAAAAAATAGAAAGCTTTAAGATAATTTCATCAATCGATGAAAACCTTGAAGGCCGTCGGGGGCTGGGCGCGCTCCTCTTAGCACCGCCGGGGGCTGGCCCCGCCCTCCCGCGCGCTGCGGGGGCTCGCTGCGTGCCTCCCACACGCCGCCGGGGTGCCACCACCCCGCGCAGCCGGGGGTGGCCACGCGCCCGCAGGGGCTCCCACGCGCCGCCGCCGTGCCTGCTATCTGCCGCCGGTCTTCGCTCGCCTTCTCACGGATGATTGAAACCCTAGCTCCTGTGCCTTCGCATCGGTGGGGGTTGGATCTCACGCGGAAGCGCTCCATCGCCTGGTCGCCTGGTGGCCGGCGGCGTGGCGTCTTGTTCCCTGGCGGCGCGCGGGTTGCCGTCGGCTGGTGCTTTGGCGGCGCGCGGGTTGCTGGCGGCTGGTGCCCTGGCGGCGTGCGCCCTGGTGGCCTGGTGCGGGAGAGAGGGCATCGGGGAGCGGGAGAGTCGCGCGGTGCGGGAGAGAGGGCGTCGGGGAGATGGAGAGTGGCCTCGGGAAATGAGAATCGGCGTCTGGGAGAGGGAGAGTCGTGCCTCGCGCGTGGGTGTGGGCGGGACGGGATTTCTATTTGCCACTCTTACGGTGGCCGCCTTTTCCATTTTCAGCTTCACCGTGCCATCGGTGCTCGCGAATCGCGATGCAGGGGCAGGCCAGCTACGTCAGCTCCGCTCCCTAGTCCGCCCCGCTCCATGGACGAGCGCATCCCACCCCCGCCTCTAACCGACATGTTGCCGCGCACGCACTCCCACCCCTCGCGGCGGCGCTTCGGCCTGGACAGCGAGCGTCCGCTCGCGTGCCGCGCCTCGGCTAGCATCCCTGGCCTGACCTTGGCGACGAGCAGCGCGGCCGCGTACCCCGTGGAGCGCGGCTGAAGGAGCGCGCGGGGCTGGGGCCGCGGCGAGCGCCGCCCGACGACGAGCGGCGAGGGCGAGGCTCAGGCGCGCCGCGGGAGGAGCCTGGGAGCGGGCCTTGGACGACGTCGCTCTGCCTGCGCTGCGCCGTCGCAGCCGCCGAGGCCAAGGACGAGGCCGCCGTTGCTGCTCGTCGTCCGCTGCGGCCACAGCTCTGTGCCGTTCAGCAAAACATCCAAGTCCGGTTCGGCGTTCATATCCCGGCGATGGAGTTCTAGTCGGCAGGGCGCAGGAGGCGCGCCGCTGGTATGCGGGCGCAGCCTGGCGAGCACGGCCTACGCAGGTAGCAGCTGGTGCGCTCCTCGGACAGGGTTGAGCGGTGCCGCTGTGGTTGGATCCTGTGGCGCTGGTCGGAGTCAAGGCGACGCGGGCGTCCATGGCGGCCGGCAACTCAAGTACAGAGTCGTCCATGGCGCCTGCTTGGCCTCACCCTCTACCGCTCCATCCTCTTCCTGCTCTGCTGCTCGCTGCCGCTCCTGGGGTGGACACCGCGGCGTCAGCATCCAACACTTTGTGCTCCTCGTTTTTGCTGCTCGCGTGCGTCCTCGGCCGGCACGACGGCTCAACAAGCGGCGACATGGGGTGAGCGGCAGTGCTGGAGCTATGGGTGAGCGTGGCTTGGCAAGTGGCAACACAGATGAGTGGCTCCAAGCGAGCGACGGTGTTGGAAATTGGAACTTGCAAGAAAGAAGTAACAGGAGGAAGAAAGAAGAAAGAAGAGAGAGGAGTAAGGAAGAAGAAAGCAACCTGACAGCTGGGTCCCACTAGGGGTGAGACGGGCAGCTGCTGCTTCTGCTAGCACCGTTGGTGCCGGGCAAGCGGAGGCGGACGCAGCCGTTAAGTTCCGCTTGCTCGTATAGGATCGTGGGTTATAAGTTGAAATAGTATCTTTCTCTCATACTAAATTTCATACTAAATTAGTTAGTAGTAAATAATCTACGATCATTTATGATGAAACGAACAGGCTGGCTAGCTGAACTGGCACCCCACGTCAGCAACAGTAACAAAATTGTATCTAAGTTATTGTTTTCTAGGGTAATTTTATAGTTGGCACGATAAAACTAACAAACGGAGAGGCGGCTACCATAAGAGTGGCAAATAATTAGAAATCTCGGGCAGGACGGTTTGACAAATGAGTGATGAGATTTGGTCCAAGCAATCTGGTCCATTAGATTTGAGTAAGTAAGAGAAAGGAGAAATCAGAGTAGATCTCATCCCTTCGTTTCAAAGGTTGACTTGCTTTGGGTGTATATATTTGGGTGTGTTTAGGAGAGTTCATGACTGTGGTGAGCAGGTTTTGGTGTGTCTTTAGAAAAGTTTACATCGGTGCATTATATGCGGTAGAGATATGACATAATATATACTAATTATATGATACAAGTAACCAAATAGATACATAACTGTTTCATGATGTTGAGAGCAACGAGTTTGGAGATGAAACAAATTACTTTTAGTGGGGTTCCACTCTAGTTTCATAACCTTGATAACCGTGTACACCATGTCTCATCGTGAAAAAACTTAACTAGGCCTTGTTTAGTTCCCTTCAAAGTTTCAAGTTTTTTTACTCTCTTTCCGTCACATCAATTTTTGGACGTTTGCATGGAGCATTAAATGTAGGTAAAAATAATAACTAATTACACAGTTTAGTTGGAAATTACGAGATGAATCTTTTGAGCCTAGTTGGTCCACGATTGGACAAAGTTTGCCAAATAAGACGAAAGTGGTACTATTCATCGAGTTGAAATTTTTCTCAATCTAAACCAGGCCCTATTCTCTCTTTATAAATTTCATGCCATGCCACCACTTCTAGTAGTTTCAAAAAAAAAAGATGGAGACAACTCTCTAACTCCCGGTCATATTCCGTGCCCGCTGTTCATGGTTCACCTCTGCTGGCAAATTGACCTGGCACGGACGCACGGTGGCACCTGGCCGCGAGCCAGCCTGCGCGCCCTGCAGGCTTGTAGCTATCGCTATCGGGTAGCAGTAAGTAACCGTACCCGCAGTCCCGCAGGAGATGGATGCCTTGGTCTTGCCTGCGCTGCGTGCGCATCGTGATGAGAGCCTTTGGCTATACTAGCTCTCACGCGAACCCAACTGCATCTGCATTTAAACGCCGGCGCGTTTGACCAGCGGGCGCGCATCGATCAGTGATCACCCATTCACCCGCCTTGCCGTGCGTACTCCTCCTCCGCCGCCGCGGCGGCGCGCGGCTTCGTCCCCATCCCGTACGCAGATGAGCTAGCTCCTCATCGTTGTCGTTTCCACCACCAGTCTCTCGCGTCGTGCATCAGGAATGCTAAAGCACCGTCGCGGCTGTGCCGTGCTCGGCGGTTTTCAGTTTGGTGCAGGGATATAATCTCAGGGAGCAGCTCGATCGGCGGCGGGCGGCGGCGATCGATGGGGAAGCTGGCGAGGCTGGTGGACGGCATCAAGGAGAAGCTGGGAGGGGCCGGCGGCGGGAGGAAGACGGCGGCGGCGGCGGCGTGCTACGACAAGGTGGACAAGACGGAGAGCATGAGGGTGGAGATCAGGAGCCGCCGGGCGCGGCAGCTCATCGCCAAGAACCTCGCCGCCGCCGATTCCATCACCGGGAGCACGAGCAGCCCCCGTGGCGGCGGCGGTTGCGGCGGAGGCAAGAAGACGAAGAAGCGGTTCTTGGTCTTCTGATCGATCCGATCCACGTTGTGGACGATTGATCTGCTCCCTCATCGCTCGTCGTCGTCGATCTTGGTCTTGTCGTCATGATGATAATAATGCTTGCCATCAGTTGCTCATCCTCATCCATCCTGTAGAAACCGTGCATGCGTGTGTGCACCTTGAGCATTATTATTAATCTCTAGCTAGATTTGTGATCTTCTAAGAAAGAACTGAAAAACTAGTACTCCCTCCGTACTTAAAAATGAAGTCGTTTTAGACAAGGCTTGGGTCAAATGTTGAAAATATAAATCATGAATAACTTTTAGGTTGTTGAGTTTGAAAATATGAAAACAATACGTATAGATTTGTCTTAAAAAATACTTTCACAAAAATTTGCATATATCATTTTTTGATAAATATCTTTATAAAAATAAGTAATCAAAGTTATGCTTTAAAGACCGTGTCGCTGTCAAAAACGACTTTAATTTTTGGAATCCTGATTTGCTAGCGTTTAAGCGTCTGAATCCGAATGGATTGTGTACTGGAGGTCAAGGTTTAATTATGTAACCACTTGATCGGCCTGGGCTTTTGTATAACAAGACGGTGATGAACTGACGATGATTGCTCGTATATATCGTATCTTCCCATGACCAGGCGCAAACTTGGATAACTGCGCCCCTATATTGGATCCGTGAAAGACTCGACAAAACATGCCGAACGGAAGCTAACGACTCATCATCTGGCCATCTTGGGGATATTTGGAGAAGCACCGTACAACATACGGCACAACAAAGTAGAGCGCACTATTCATGTGATGCTGTCCACTGCGTCTATAGACTTGCAAGGAAATTCCAGTTTCAGTGAGTGTTTCATGTTCCATTTTCGAAGACTCTCGTACGTTGAAAACAGTTTTATATCCATAACTCATCACATCTCTTTCCTCATTTATATTGCGACATATCAGTACATTTGTTAAGCTGGTAGCTTATTTAATGGCTATGAGACTCACCGAGATTGGCCTAAAGAGACAAAAGAACACTAGAGACAATGCTTAGCCCCTAAGTAATACTCCCTCCACTCCAGCTTATAAGAAGTTTTGGCTTTTTAGATGTATATAGGTTTTGTTATGCATTTAGATATACACTATGTCTAGAATAATGATACTCCCACTATCCAAAAAAAAATGTAAATCTCATTTCACGAGGAGTCAGAATCTTAAGTCTGACAAAGTTTATAGAAGATATTATCTACATTTGGATCTCTATTCAAGTTTATTATAAAATATATATTTTATGATTAATCTAATGATACTTATTACACATCATAAGCATCAATACTTTTCTGTGGCAGAACCTCCTAAGAAATCGGGCCCACGTGCACCTATCGATGTCTCAACAGACCTCAGATAGCGTACACAAGTTTCCAATAACTTAACAGGTCTATCGGGTGTCCTCGGGAAACCCGAATCATCCACGAATCTTTTTCAAACAGGATCCCAATCACAGTTATTGCAGATTACAACAGTTTTCAATATACATACAAGAGATTATAAAGCGGAAGACTTAAGTTTTAATATTACAAACCAGTTGTTCCAAAGTTACATAACCATAAGTGTCATACAACCATAGTAGCGGGATAATATTACATTAACATTATTTATTTCACACAAACTAATGCCTTGTCCAAAGGCCATTCATATAAAGCGGAAGACTTAAGTTTTAATATTACAAACCAGTTGTTTCAAACTTACATAACCATAAGTGTCATACAACCATAGTAGCGGGATAATATTACATTAACATTATCTATTTCACACAAACTAATGCCTTGTCCAAAGGCCATTCATCATTCCTCATTGTCATCGACTTCAAACACTGACATGCAGCAGGGACCAAAACAAGCCTGCGCATGCGACTCACCTGCAACAAGGGTTAACAAACCCTAAGTACAAAAGTACTCAACAAGACTGACCCGACGAAAAAGGGCGAAGGTCTTAGGGATACAGGTGTTGGGTCAAGGTAAGGATGTAGAAAGATTCAAAAGTTTCTTTGCCAAAAGCATACTATTCTTGATCCTAGTTTCAAGTTTTACCCCTAAGTACTTTAGTTCAATATCCCAACTAAGTGTTCATATCCCATGTTCCAATCCTTCTCATTCCATTCTTTTTCTCATGTTTTAGTAATTCACCAGTCCTGCATTACTTCTATAATGAATCGAGTCTGCATATCCGCGGAGCACCGGCAATTCAAATTGATTCAAGTCCCAGCTGGGGATTCCTTATCACACGACATATGTAGAACTTAATCTTGCATATATCAACCTCGCTACCGGGTCCTTCCGTACTAAGCCGTCTCCACGCCACCCGAGAGCACAGCACGCCTCAAATCCGGCCACATTCAAGCCACGAGGGTACACGTTACTCCCGCCATCTCACCACTCCCAGTGCATGGGCATTCGTCTTAGTATCGGATTAGCCAAAGTAGGCTTACCAGAATATATGACCAGTACTACAAAGTGTCTCGTTCAGAAGATCCACAATGAGTGGCCTTTAAGCGACATAGTCGGCAACATTACCCAACATTCAAGATAAGCCACCCAACTAGTCTCTAGTTCATTCTATCTTCTTTCTTTCTTTCTTTGGCCAGTATGCCATCTTTGATTGTATCGAAACTTTTACTTTGAAAATCTACCATAAAGCATACTAAGCAATTCTACGCCTTTGTAAATGAAATCATCTTCAAGGATGGTAAACAATTAACAAGGTAGGCAATGCA